TTACTAGAGAATGGCAAATATATTTTTGTTGTTATAAGAATCCTTCAAATATTTCATTTTTGTCACACTAATCTTTAGTTCGAACGGAGGCATTGCTCTCTTATTTGCAGCAAACTTTATCTATTTATGAAATTTATTTGTAATCAAAGAGCACATTGACACCCTGCAGAAGATAAAGGAAAATAATATACAGGTGTGCAAGCTTAAGATGCATAGATAGAGACGTAGCAATATGAATACGACACGACACAGATATGGGACATGTCAATTATTGAAAATATATGACACATACACGATTTGGACAAGGTATTATAATATTTATATTTTAGAAATATGTGTAAAAATTAAATAAGTATAATATTAAAAATGATTTAGAAATAATAATTTATTTGACTAGAATTTTTGCTTAAAATGATTAATATTAGGATGTTGAGAGTCTAAAATCAATGTCGTATATGAGGTATCGGGAGAGGAGATGACAATGTTGTTGAGAGTGGACATCTATGTTATGTAGTAAGTATCGAGCGTCAATGTCAAGAGGGCGTCTGTCATTGATGTTGAGAGAGCGTTGGTCGTCGATGTTAAGAATACGTCAGACAAAAATGATCATGAACTGTCAGGTTATGGGGGTAGAAATTGCTAACATTGAGCATCAATGTCAAGACAGTGTCAAACTTTGATGTGGAAATGGTTTTGAAATGCATGTCGATGTTGCAACAAAGTCAGATGTCGATGTTGAGATGACAACGGACATTGCTGTAAAACCAAATTCTAAATCCGCCAAAGTGAAATGAAAATAAAAATATTCGATGAATGGGATATTGAGCACCGACGATTGATTTGACGTTGTGGATAAGAAATAAGAAAATTATTTTTTTATTTTAAATAAATAAAAATTTTAAACATAATAAATTATATTTAAATTTTCATTAAATATTTAAGACACGTGTCTCCAATTTGTATTTAATATTTTTTAATCGGACACATTTTTAACGTATCCATCGCGTATCGGAACAGTGTCGGACACCTGTGTGTTAGATAAGTACTGCATGATCCCGAGGATGTCGCAATACATCAAGTCTTTTTTGTCCATGACCTCAAAAGCTTGTTGTTGATCGCCACTTGGCCATTAGTATGAAGGCAGCCAAGACAATTAAACAACTCATGTAGGCTTAATTTTACTATGTACAAAGGGTCTTTAGTTAATAGTGAATGACAGTTGCCATTATCGATAGAGTAAAATAGATGAGATCTCATCTCGCATGCAGTATTGCAGATTTTTCTCCATTCTAAGCCATATATTTTCATCGGTGTTCTATCACTAAAGAATCCCCAGTTGATATAAAGACATCGAATATACGCAATATCAGATTATGACATTCTCAATTTAGGCCGGATCGATTTGAGCGAATTCCAGCCAAACGCCTGAAATGCAAAATCAAATCTCACCGCAAATGAAAGCCTCCGTAGATAGAAAATTCCGCCTTTTCATGCTAAATCCCGGATTTTCAAATCATGTTTTTTTCTAGATTTACGAAATCCATTGACTCGAGAAGAAGAATCCGCACAAGATTTAATAGGATTTATCATGAATGTTACCAAAAAGTTTTTAGGATTTAGGCCCCTCAAAATTTCTGAAATCCGAATTTAGAGGATTTATGAAATCCTGCTTAAATCAAATCCTGGGTGCTATGAAACAAACCCTTTGGATAAACACTGTTTTTCTTATCTCTTTCACACAATCTGGTATTCATTTAATTTCTCCTAGCTTTTTTTTTTTTTTTTTTTGTGAGGACCTTTCGGCCAATTAAGAAAGTTAGAGGCTGGAGTAGTTCCGGTGGAAGATAAGATTAGAGAGAGTTGCCTTCCGATGACCTAATTAGGAAAATACATGTATTAAATTTGACTTATACTAAAAAGGCAGAGGTATAACTAAAAATACTTGATTAAAAAATATTAGAAATTGTCTTTCTTTATTAGATTAATTTAAATCAGAATTTAAATTTTAACATGGCATAAAGTAGAAAGAGGATTCATGTAGCAGACCCCACAGTGGGATAAATGTTTGATGTTATTGTTGTATGTAGAACAATTAAGATAAACTCTCACACATCACATACGTAAAACTCTAACTCAATACCTCTTAATTGATAACTGAAACTTCTAACTAAAAATCAAGGAGCACCGTGTGCTCCTAACTTTCTTAAAAATTTATTGAATTTGATTCTTACTTCAAATTCTTCCAAAAAAAAAAAATTTCTTACTTTAAACTATCATTGTAGATCTAATTTAATGTTGAATTAATGAGAAATGCAGAGATCAGACCCCACCTGCAGCTTAAAAGGCTGGAGAGTTACAGGCCCAGTCCTTTACTCAAACATTATAAAAGGATTTTAAGTTATCACCAAAAATTAAGTATATATTACCATTTGTAATTGTAAAACACAAGTAATTAACCCTGAATTAATTAATCCTTATTAAATATGCCACTTTTTAATCCTCTCATCCACCACTACTCCCTCTTCTTCTTCTTCTTCTTCTTCTTCTTCTGAACTGTCGTCGTCTGCCTACTTCACAAAACCCCTCAAAGCTCTTCAACAGAAGAAGCAAGCAAACTTATTAACATACTAAGGAGGAAAATATAGTACAACAAAGCAAACTCAAAACATCTTTATTTATGGTTTTCACTCAGAAGCAACTGTAAGCAACTCTCTTAAACATACAACGCCATTACTTAATTTCCCTATATATATATATGGCAACACTTGTAATAAGTAAAAATTTCATTTCCCTGTCAAGCCTTACATGATTTCTTTAGTTTACTTATGCTGCGTTCACCAACATCTTCATCCCTGACTCGCAGTGAGCAGGAAAGTTGCAGATGAAGTAGTTAGGACCCTTTACGAGAGTGATGCGATCGTTCCCAGATTTGTAGATTTTAGAACCTTTAGGAGTCGTGCATGCATTGTAGCCCGCTGCGTTTACGGCCACCACGTTGTGCACCGATGGGCTGTATTTAAAGACTACAATAATACCATTACAAGAAACAGATTAGCATGAGGAAAAAGAAGAAAACTTTCTGAATGATTATGCGAGATGTGCTCACTAAGGACGTCGCCGGCACGAAAGCGCTTGCCTTTGGTCCAGGCCGCGGAGTTGAAGGTCCAGCCATTTTGATTCCCGACGGTGTAAATGGCGGACTCGGCGAGCTCGCTTTGCAGAAGCATAAGAAAGAGTAGAGTGAGACCAAAAGCCATGGCTTTTCCTGCACTGTCTCTTCCCTGAGCCATCACACGCTTAGCACTCTTTGCACAGAAAGAAGAACGAGGAAGGAGAAGATCGGCTTGCGGTAGAAATGAGGAGATGTCATTGGTTCTTATAAGGCGGGGGAGAGAAGGTGGTTGGTGTGGGAAATAATGATATAAAGTATTAAAGTTTTCAGATTTACATTTATACGACAATTCTTTGTCTATTTACATATATATGACATTTAAATATAATATTTGTATATCTTAATCAAATCAAAAAATATATAAATGAAATTATACTATTCATTTTAAGAAAAATAATATTTTTTGATATGATGTAATATTTTGGTGTTATATAAATAAATATAAATTTTAGCTATTAGATTTATAAATATATAAAAATTATACATTATATTTTTATGTTAATTCCCCTAAATTTTGTTGATGTTGCCCCTATTGCTATTATTTTGAGTAAAAATTTATTAGTTTTCAAAAAACTTCAACCAAATTAAATATCATTTGTTAAGATATCTAATCTAATATTTAGGCTTCCTAATTTTCTTTAAGATAGTTGAGATCATGACATGTGATTTATGCATATGAGGCTACTATAGTCTTGGCATCACAAACTAAGAAGAACATTAAGATCAAAATATTCTAATTCAAATTTGATTCTAATTATAAACTTTTAGGAGATTTGCATATATAGTATTTAAAATTATAAATTTTATATATTTAAAACATAAATTTCACTATTTATATAATATAGTATTTCGTTGATAGGTTAACAAAATCTTCAAAGATGAAGAAAAAGTTGCAACTTGATCTCACGAGGAAAAGATTTTGACCGCCATTCCCCTCCTAGTCCCTGTCAGGACATAGTATCTACAAATGAAGATGATATATGGGATCTCACCAAGCAGCAACACACCATTTTCACCAACTTATGCTTCGGTTGGGACGGCTTTCTTACTACTTTTTAAAGCTACTTTCTAAAAAAATCGTCACAAACGAAGAATGACTTTCTTAATATTGCTTTTAAAAGCAGTTTTTCAGCACAAAAATCAATAAAAATCGTGAAAAACTAATAGTAAAAAACTATCTCAAATGAAGCTTTAGATTCCTCCGACTTTTGGCAAGGTCCTCCCCCTCACCTAGTGATTTTTTTTAATTTACTTTGCACAAAGTTAATTTGAATTAAAGAGCCAACAACCCACTACCTTCATTATTTTGTTGTGGAACAGCCCTACCCATTGTCAAAGATGGAGGACCCTTTGCAGCTATTGTCAACAGGCTAAGAGATGGGAAATGTGAAGTGCGCACGTAGCTAACTTTCTTAATTTCTTTCTAATTACAGTACTGAGGAAGACGAGAGACTTTTGCTTTTAGTGCTTTGAAATCGTCAGAAATTTCGTCGCCGATAGCTTGCCACTTGACAGACATGTTAGACACGTTCTAAATATATTAATTTTATTCTTGATTAATTATTATATATCGCTAATGATAAAGGGATAGCAGTTATTCATTCTAAAAACTGGTCATAATGTGTTGAGCGTTTTCATTGGATAAGATGGGGCATGAGAAAAAATATATTATTTAAAATTTGGAGAATTTTTATGTATAATATCTAAGATTATTCTATTTGGATATTTAATATTTAAATTTTATAATTTAGTCACATGATATTTAAAATTTTAAATAAAAAATACCACTTATCCTTAATTAGTTCTATCAAAGTTTTGTCAGTGTGAATCCTTTAAAGTGCGAACCTAACTTTGATTTCTATTTCTAAGACAGAAATTAACTCTCATCATAGAGCCTTGAAATCCATGTCCTACCACATAATGCGCGTGTTTACCTACCTGGATCGGGTTAGGGTCGATCCGATTGAATCCGGATCAGTTCTATATTCGACCCGAAACCCGATTTTGACACCACTAATTAAGAAGCTCCTCTTATCACAGTAGAATAATTTATTTATTTACTAATATTTATAAAATAATTATATCTATATGAATCAATTATAATGAATGAAATGGATTAATACAATCGGTTACATAACTATAATTATGAAAATAGAAAGCTCGGCTAGCTACACCTTAAGGAAATAAGTTAAATCAAAATATGTGAGTGAGGGTGGAGATTTAAGTTTCGTTGGGACAACTTTCTTATTGCTTCTTAAAGCAGTTTGTTAGTACAAAAATTAAAAAATTTGTACTAATAAGCTGCTTTAAGAATACTGAAAAGCTGTCCCAAACATAGGCTTAGGGGCGGCTTTCTACCTGGTTCTTAAAACAGCTTTTTGAAAGCTGTCCAAAACAAGCTGTAGGCTTCCTTAGGAACAATTTTTATTAGTTTTAAAATAGTTTTTTGGCACAAAAATTTTTTGAACTAAATTTTTTTTTACTGAAAGTTGTTTTAAAAAGCAGCTAGAAAGCAGTCCCATGAGAAAACTTTCTTACTGGTTTATTTTTTAAATCACTATTATAATTTTTATTTGACAATTATTTTTTCGCTACTTTTAAAAGAAATTTATACTCAAAAGCTACTATTTATAATAACTTAAAAAATTATTTTTTTAACAGCGACTTTATAAAACAATAAAAAAGCCGTTCATAATGAAACCTTAAATTTACTTGACCAATTTTGAGGCCAATTGTTATTCAATTTTTATCTCTTAATTTTTTCTATGCAACAATATATTTAATTCTGTGAAACAAATTGATAAGACTTGAAGCTTTGGGTACATGGATTTTGGATAATGTGCACTTTATAACTTTTTTTTTGGTTAAAAAACAGCTATTCAGCCAACATCACCCGAGCACAGCTGGCGAACATTTGTCGACCGTAGCCGAACCATCACTCATCCACGAACCATCACTAGAGCACCGCCCTTCTATCGACCATCATCAGACCGCTGCATGTCCACCGACCATCACAGGACCATCACCCACCTACTATCGTCCCTCCAACCTCTATTGCACGCCGACCACGATCCATTTGACCTCCTTCGTTTGTCGACTACATTCCCTCCAACCACTATTGTCCGACTACGATATCTCCAACCAAACGAACATATCAATACTCTCTAGAGGAGAACTTGCATATCAGTAGAGTACTCTTCAAACTCCCACCATATAATGTGCTTTACATGATGTATATTTATTATATCGAGCCAATGCCTTCCCCCCAAGGAAGTGTCTCATTTATAATATATCTATAATAAACACTACTATCATCATTTTAACTAGGCCAAACCCCACAATTTTTCTCCTTCTCAAGATTTTTCATGTCTCTTATGACTCTTGCACGACTCTCTCTTAACTATATGTGTTGGATGTTCGTACAAAACTTAGACGCTAAACTCCATATCTCTACTACTGCAAATATTCCAGGACACAACAATACCTAATTAAGCATAATATTTAATATAAATCATAAATCCTAATGCCGTAAAAAGAGTTGAACCAACATTTAAAAGATTGCTTAAAAAATAATTTCGGATCCAAACTCCGAATAATGTAAATTTTCTAGTTCAAATGATTTTACAATGATTTCAATAACACTAAATCGCTTCAATTCGAACACATTATGTTATCAAATTTAATCATAGAATTAGGCTAAGTGCCTCCCACCTTTTTTTTTTAACATAAGCATGTGATACAAGCCTCGGGAGGCTGTTGCCTTTAAGGGCATCTCCAACCGAAACTCTCATTTTTCACTGCAAAATGCAGCAAAATCAAAAAGTGCCGTGATTCATCTCCAGTGGAACGCCATTTTGCCCCAAAATCATCATCGTTTCTTTCGCGCCTTTCTCAGACCGAGTTCGGTAGAGAGAAAGAAATGGCGAAAGTGAACAGTGTGACGCCAATATTGGCGTCGGCGTCGCACTGTTCATAAGCGACTGAATGCCGGCAAAAATGGAGTTCGGTTGGCACATCTAAGGCTCTCCATTCGCCTGTTTGCCGAACGGCTGGAGAATGCCTAACTATACCGTTGATCTATTGGAGGTCATCTAAATGGTCCTTTTACAGTCTACATCATTTCTTCTCGAGTAATCCCATATATAATTCATTGATCATCCAAATAGATCTTAATTTCTTTAGGGCTAGCATGAGCTCTTCCAAACTCCATTTTGCAAGTTGTTTGTGTCAATAAATAATATGACCATTTTGATATTAAAAAATAATACATTATATTCATTAATAAAAAAATTATCATCAATAATCATCACTGGAGCCTATGCTGATTATATAAGCTAACTATTTATGTAATTAAAGTGATCATATTTGTAATAGTCCAAATTTTTAATTAACGAGATATTGTTCGTTTTGGTCTAAAAGCCTCACGGTTTTATTCTGTTGGCGTAACTTCTTAGGAGGTCACTCATCTTATGATTTATTCGAGATGAGCACGCTTAACTACGAAGTTCCTTTAACGAAATTCTAACCATTATATTAAAAGGCGCATCGATATTTTTAAGACTTTAGTTTCTTTTTACTTAAGGGATTCACAACATTAATTTTTTATATAGCAAATGATAGCCAAAAGCTTACTATACTAGCATTTGTTTTATTTTGTTGATAATCAAATCACTTGAAAGATTCGAGAAAAAATTTAGGAGAGGACATTCGGATCAAAAATTGATCAAGAAGATCATCATCAAAATTATTGAATTTAATTTAAAATGAGTGTATATTCTTATTTGATTTTTTTTCCTTGAAAATTATTGGCTATATAATACCTTGATTAGAATATAAAAGTTGCATGTAACTCATTAAATTTTAGTAATCTATTACCATCTTAATAAAGAAATCATTAAATGAAATGCTCTTGAATCCATAGAAAGGTGACACATAAAGTTTAGATTACTTAGATGTCTTTGTCTATTATGATTCATATTTGATATCAATGTTTAATAAAACTTTTTAAAATAATTAAAAATACAAATATAGATTTTTTAAATAATTTTATTATGATTTGATAGCAATGTTAAATAAAATTTTTAAATATAAATAAAATAATTAAAAATACAAATATAGATTTTTTTAATAATTTTATTATGATATTCATATAACACCTTCTTCATGAGTCATGCAACTCTTTCCGACTTCTAAACACCTATGTTCTTCATATAGTAATAACTAATACTTCAAATAACATAAAAAATAACATCCTCATCACCCTCTATATTACCATTCTTTCATTGACACTGATCCGATCACCTTTGCCGCAACACAGGTCGTTGATCTCTTGAATCCCCTCCCAAACCTCATCCAATCCCAACCCTTCCCAATAATATCCCATCTTGACTTTTTAATCCCATCACAGTCCTTTGTCTATGACTTGCCCTTCCCAACGCATCTCAATGATATCTTTTTGAGACTTTTACGTCCCGTCGTGATGATTTCATATGTAAATCTCCCATACAAAATAATATTTTTATAAGTATCAATTCACCTCTTTAGTGTGTCATTTGATTGCCAATTTAATTTGACTTATCTCAATTCAAATTCATTGATAATTAGACTTTAATTTAGTAGATAAACTCCTAATTATATTTAAGAAATATATAAGTAGAATTATGTCATATTTTAATAAAAAATAAAATTATTTATTGAACAATTTTTTTAAAAGAAAAATGAATTCAAATAGATAAATAAATAACATTTAAAACCTAAAATATTAACTTTATGATTTTTATAGTATGGAATTTTATTATCAAAAAAATATCTTATTAAATCAGAGGTATTTTATTAGTCCTAAATCACGTGCCTTGCATTTGCTTTGTGATCGTCCATTTTGATAGATCTTGCTCAGCTCTCATCTGGTTGGGGCGTCGCGCGGTAGAAGTAGCACCGTCCGGAAGAGAGTCGGCGGCGGCGGCGGTGGTGGTGGAGCAAAGAAAGAGTGAGTGAAAGAGAGAGAGAGAGAGAACAAAATGAACACGGATATTACAGCATCGGCTAAGCCAGAGTACCCGGTGATTGATCGAAACCCTCCTTTCACCAAGACAGTAGCCAATTTCAGCGCCCTCGACTACCTTCGCCTATCAACCATTACTGGCGTCTCCGTCACCGTAGGCTACCTCTCTGGTACGCCTCTCCTTCTTTGTTCTCTCGCTTTCTCCCTCTCTTCTTAGGGCTAGGTTTTGTTGTTAACCTTCAATGCATATCGAAGGTATCAAGCCCAACATCCGAGGTCCCTCGATGGTTACCGGCGGTCTTATCGGGCTTATGGGCGGCTTCATGTATGCTTACCAGAACTCCGCTGGTCGTCTTATGGGCTTCTTTCCTAACGAACAAGAGGTTGCTCGTTATAAGAAATAGAGCAAATTGATGCTTACCATTTGTCTTTGCCTTTGCCCTTGACCTTATTGTGGAGGAATAATGATTGATCAAGCTGTTCTTGCTTATCATGCGCTGAGATTTGAGTCTCGGTTTCTCTCTGTTTTGCTCTGATTGTAGAAGCAGAAGTTGTTTAGAAATTGGTGCGTTTTCTTAGCTTTTACTATCACATTATGCTCCGTCAAAAGATTGCATCTTTTGTGTAATCACTCATGTTTCTTATTTTGACACTTTATTGCATATCATTCAGAAATAAGTTTTCTTAATGAATTTTGTTTTGGCGTTTGATCAGTCTAAAGATATTGTCAAATTATTGTCATGTGTCTTCTGATTTTACATGATATGTATTGTTTTTATGTTTTATCAGAACAAAATTGTAGTAAGGTTTAATTCAGATCCTTGATTGCTTCTGGTATGGATTCAAATCCCTTTTCTTTCCCTTTGAAATTGTGTACAGCTACTAACAAATAAGTTATGAATTTTGCATCTCCAATTGAACCTGAATTATCGTATAGCATGGACTCTTATGTTTTGAAATTCAATTCATAATTATTTGTAGATTTATGTTGTATATATAACATAAATCATTATTTATCATATATATATGATAGTCAATGACAAAGGATTTAAGTAGCTACTTTGACGTGAAAACAAAGTACATCACAAAGGAAAGCTTGCTTGTCCAGCTTTTCTCTCATATTCTTTTTCTTCGATCTTGTTTAATATTATGATTGTTATCATAGGAGAGAGGAGTTACAATATCTCAATACATCTGATGTGAAATGTATTAGAATAACAAATGGTTTTCTTTCATCCAACAATGTTATTTGGATGTAATGTTTTAACAGGGATCTAGTTAACTAGAAAGGATAATTGGTTTATTAGTGAGTGTGAACCAATGTGGACTAATGTTAGCCTAGATATAATAATGGTCAAACTCATTTTCAGCAAAAAGCTTAGACCTATGAGTGAGAGTGAAGTGGCTAAATAGTTTGTATTTCTACTTTAACATATTTTTTTTAATTATCTGATGTGACACTAAACCATCTTGTTATGTGCTTTGACAATTCTCTTGACATGAGAGCTTTCTATTTTTGCTATCAGTCCCACTCAAACGGAGGCTTTTCACTATATTCACCATAAGTTTACTCAATCGCATGGAGTTGTTATGATAGACTTGAAGTCATCTACCTTTAGAATCTTGCTTAGCCATGATTTAAGGAATTGAAGACCCATGAGAGCCACAAACCATATAAATTGCTTAATCCAAACAAAACCTTTTGCTATGAGACTGCTTGCTAAGGACCAAGTGGTGTGGACCAGATGGGATCAAAGTTGGGCTTCATGCACTAGAGGTCAAGTTTATTTTCAACCAAAATGTTCAAGCCTATCAGAGATAGTCAACAACTTGGTATTTTATTACGAACTTATTTTTTAATTATCTGATGTGTGAATAAACCATGTGCTTTTATGCATCTTAATAAGATTTGGATTTTTGAGGTTGAAACAAAGCAAGAAATATCATAATTGAAAAGATATAATTTTTTTTATCATTGAAGGTTGTTGTAAATGGAGAAGATAATTCTTTGATTTCTTTACTGCATAAGAAAAGTCTAAGTTTATGGAATATCTTTTGGTTGAGTACAATAATCCTCCTCATTCTCCAACCCCAATTTTTTCATGGCTTATCTTGGAAATTATAGGTTCTGTTAATTCTCTATAGCCTTTGAACCTTATTAACCATTTTGATCTTTTCTATTGAGAACTATGGTGAAATTCAGGGAATTGGAGAGGTAAAATGCTTAATTTTATTGCTCAAATCTATCCCTATTTATAGATATATACAATATGTATTAATAAAGAAAAAAACAATTACATAATCATACATAATTGCTCTCATATAATCCTTCCTAAATCAGCCACCTAAATATGGAAGGAGATGGGCTCAATCCAGGTGAGCCTCACTCGAATCCCCATCCTAGTCTTGGCATCAAAATGCTAAGGGACGGTTGGGATTTAACACTCCCCCTCAAACTAGGAATACAGATATGTCATTCTCATGATAATTAGTCTCAGAAAAGTAGAGTTATCAAGTCCCTTGATAAGAATATCTGCTACCTGATCTTTTGATGAGACATGATATATATATATATATATATATATAAGATCATTATCTAGTTTCTCCTTCGTGAAATGTATGTATACTTCTATGTGCTTGGTGCTATCATGCTAAATCGGATTGTGAGCTATGTTGTCACAGTGTGGTTTCATGATTTCTTCCCACTTGATTCTTATCTTCTAGAATATTCTTTTTCCATAATAGCTCACATATTCCTAAGGACAGTTTTGTATTTTGCTTACGCACTAGGCATTGCCATTACATTATGTTTCTTGCTTCTCCATGTAATAAGGTTTCCTCCAAGGAATGTGCAGTATTGTGAGGTAAATCATCTATCTACTGGTGATCCTGCATAATCTGCATCTTTATATGCTTGTGGGGTTATTCCATAGTCTATTATAAAGGGAATCCATTTACTTAGGTCCCTTAAGGTAGTGTAGTATTTTGTCTACAGGTTGCATGTGAGTCTACTTTGGATTTTGCATGAACTGGCTGACCATGCTTACAACAAATGCTATATCCAGTTTGGTGTGGGAAAGGTAGATCAATTTTCTCACAAATCTCTAATAAGCTCCATTATCTATATTTATATTTTCTTTAGCTTCGCCTAACTTGAGATTTGGCCCTACTGGTGTTAGTTTACAAGATAGCTTGCATGTTTCTTTAAGAAGATTGTTAATGCATTTTTGTTGTGAAATAAAGGTTCCTTTATTGGAGTGGATCACTTCAATTCCAAAGAAATATTTTAATCTACTAAGATCTTTGATCTCAAATCCGTCGCAATACATTTCCTTAGAATCACTTTCTCCTTTACGTCATTCCCAGTCAAGATGATATCATCCACATAAACTAATAAAATTGTGACTTCCCCTGAGTCTGAGTGTTTGAGGAATAATGTATGGCCCCCTTGGCTCTGCCTATAACTATTGAGTAACATGACTTTTGAAAATCTTCCAAACCAAGCTCTAGGTGATTGTTTTAGTCCATATAAAGCCTTTTTTAATCTACACACTATGTTACCCCCAAATTTCTCCTTGAATCTTGATGCAATCTCCATAAATATTTCTTCCTCTAAGTCCCCGTGCATTTTTGACATCTAGTTATTACAGATTTAAGTTGTAATTAGCTGCTAGTGAGAGCAGGATTGTTAACAGAGAACACATATTTGCAGTCGATTGGTTTTTTTCCTATTAGTAGATCGGTGATCTCCTAGGTTTGTTCTTTTCCAGGGCTTGCATTTCATTTTTCACGGCACTTTTTCAATTTTTATCAGATAAGTCCTAAGAAATATTATTAAGAATATGAATATTATTTAGTATAACCAGAAACTTTTTGTGTGAAGGTGAGAAGTTATGGAATGATACAAAGTTGGTTATGGGATATAAGGGAAGTTTTTTTGGTGAACTTGTGTTTACCTCAATTTCTGAAGACGGTTCAGATTCTTGGATATGCTCTAAAGCATAGTTTGAATTTGTATGTTTTGAATACACTTGCCCAATTCTCTTGTTATTCATAATAGCTTTGTCCTCAGTTTTCTTGGCTTTTATTTTATGTTGATTGGGTTGAGGTGGAGCTAGAAGATCAAGAGGGGCAAGCTCAGTTTCCTTATTTTCCTCAATTTCAGTTTCCCTCTGAAGATGAGGTTTGATGAAATAGGATCTTTGTTTATCAAAGGTAAAGTCAACATATACAAGAGTTTTCTTAGTGGAGAGATGATAATACTTCTAACCTTTCTAGGTGGATGAATATCTAACAAAGATACATTTGAGTGCTTTTGAATCTAATCTTCTTCTATTTTGGTTGTGAATGTGAACATAAGCTGTGCACCCAAAGATTATAAGTGTATAGTTATTATGGGCTTGGAATTTTGGGTAAAAAGAAGATGAATACCCATTTGTATTTCTGGTCCTAAGGTTTTTAAAGGTAGCCGATTTATGAGATATGTGACAATCAGAAGAGTTACCCCCCAGTAAGATTTGGGTACATTGTGGTGGAATAGAAGTGCACCAGTGGATGCTAGAAGGTGACCATTTTCTATTTTTGCAATCCCATTTTGTTGTGGGATGTGAATGCAAGAAGACTCATGAATGATACATTCCTTTTGAAAGTAGAGGATAGGTTATGGTTAAAGCAATCTTTAGCATTGTTGGAACAAAATATTTGTGTTTTTATTGATTCTGGATCATGGTATGAAAAATGAGGAGGATAGTGCTAACATCGGATTTGTTTTTTAGGAGAAATATCCAAGAGACTTGAGTGCAGTCATCAATGAAGGATACAAACCATTGGGCCCCTGAGATTTTAGGAATTTTTTAGGTCCCCAGATATCACTATGAAAAAGAAACTCGTTTATACTCGGCTAACTCACAAGTTTTGTAATAAAAATATTCATTTGTAAAAAATGTTTGGCTACATATTTCTTAAGACATCAAAAGATGAATGTCCTAATCTAAAATAGTGAAGCCAAATAGCAATTTTTTTATCAAATAGGGATAACATAAAATAACCATTATTGATAATTTTAGCTGTTCAGCTCTTCTAGGTATTATAGTCTATCTCTCTCCTTAGCAAGTCCAATATTCTTCCCTGATCCCTAGTCCTGAAATAAGCAATAAGCTGGGTTAAATAAGACCTGACAATTATTGTCATTGTTACGTTTTTGTATGAAGATTAGTTTTGTGGATAGTCGAGGTATGTGGAGCACATTTTTTACATTGAGGGAGGGAGATAAGGGTATGTCTCCTTGGCATGCTACTATAGTAAGATAATCATCAACAGTGATGATTTTCTTGTCACTTGAGCAAGGAGTATAGTTGATGAAGTGGGTAGTGGAGTGTCATGTGATCTGTAGCTCCTGAGTCAATTGATTAATAAACCTTTCAAATGATTTATAGAGTCACTTAATCCAATGGATATATGAAACATACTTAAAAGTGCAAGAGGGAAAGATGGATGTGGTTTTTCAAGGGGTACCAGGAGTTGTTTTAGTTTATTAATATATATTTTTATTGAGCTCTCTGAAGCTGAACTGCTCAAAGCTAGATGCGTGCATGTGTGTATTCTTATTTTTTTTAGTTAAGGAAAATATTTAAGATTTAAATAATTTTCTTTTCTGTTTTTTGTTTTAAATAGTTTTGTGGATTAATGAACTTACAAAGGATATGTTGTTGCCTGAAAGTTTCTTTAATTATTCTTTGCCTTCATCAATATGAATGCCTGGAAGAATAGCTTCAACCGAATTTTTAGTATTACATTCCTTTTTTTTCTTTTATCCA